TGAACAAGTCAAGGGTGAGGCTGCAGTCAAAAGGAAGCCGTATCAGGATTTCACCAAGTTGCCCAGCTTTTTGACGGATGAAGTTTGGGATGCCTTGAGTGCTTACCCATACACTCGGGCCGCAGAAATCTTGATGGAGCATGCTTTTCGGCTTGGTTTGAGAAATCCTTCAGAGCCGACGTATGCTTCTTTGACCGCCCTCCTGTGCATTTTCCATCCGGCGAAGACGGGTTTTGGTTTGGCACAGACTTATGAGACCACGAAGTCCACTTGGCAGAGTTTCAAAAAGAAACGCAAGCACCGGATCCACGCTGAAGACCTTCACCTTCTGGAGTTACCGGCTCCGGATGATTTGCCGGATGATTTGCCAGAGGTTTTGAAGCTTGCTGCGTTTGGTCAGCAGCCACGAGTGGAGTCTCGCATCAGAGATACCTCCTTGCAGGAGTTGCAGGATAAGACTGTCATGCGGAAGTCGAACATGTTCTCTCCGAAGAATAGTGCGGCTCAGCTTGGAGCCATGGGTGGTGGCATGCTTTCCCAGTCTGTTCATGGTGATGTTCAACATGGAGGAGGATCATTGGTGAAGGAGCTCATGAGTGCCTTGGTGCTTTTGACCCAGCAGCGGTTTCAACAGCCGGAGGTGCCCATTCACTTGTTGCGTAGATCTCCTTCTGAGGTCTCCTCGGTGCCAAGTTCTGCTTCAGCCATGCAGAAAGCTTTGCCAGCCCCAGCAAGTGTATCAGCAGATGATCAGAAGCAACCGAGTATGGCTTCTGAGGTGGATCCAGGCTTGCACATGTTGCACCAACTTGAAGAGACGAAAAAGATGTCCACGTCTGAGGCGGCGGCTGCGAAGGTCCCATCTGCAGCAGACAAGCAGGAGATTCCCGCTTCGAAGATCGAGGCAAAGGAGGAGAATGATGCTGTGACTCTAGCTCAGCAGATGGTGGCTGACTTGGAAAAGAGACAGAAGAGTTCAAAGCAGTTGGAACCCTCTGAAACTTCCAACAAAATGAAAAGACCAGCCGCTGCTGGAATGAGCGCAAAGGTGCCCAAGACATCTCCGTCCAGTTCGACCAGCAGTGGCAGCAAAGATTTGAAGCGGCCTGCTTCAAGTGTCCTCAAGCCACAGCCGAAGTCTCTGCAGAAGAAGAAAATGCCGGTCAAGAAGACCAAGGGGAAAAACAAGAAGAAGGAGTTGAAGATGGATCCAAAGAATGTACATTCCCGAGCATGGCATGGAACACGCAATAGGATTTTCCGACAGACTGGTGATGATAACTTGGCTTGTCAAAAGGCCACTGCAGCGGCCAGGAAAGCTTTGAATGCTCTGAAGAAGCATTCCTAGAAGATGGCATTTGGTTTTTGTCACCAGTGATTTTGTATACACTGGAAAGAGAACGTTTTGCACAGAATAGAACTCACATGGAACGCAGTTGCCGGTGGAGACAAAAGGATGCCTTTTCATTTCGAGTGCCTTCGGTACATCATATCATATAGTAGTGCTGAACAAACATTTTTCCTTGATACCAAAAGGGATCAGCAGACGGTGCTTCCGCTGGAGAATGATTCGTTTCTGTTCTTCATGTTATATAGGCGGGTTTGCCGCTGTAGGATTGTTTCTGTTTTTGTGGCGGTACTTGACCGCTGTAGGTCCGAAATATAACAAATGTTGTTTCTATATATCTAAAGATAGCCATGTAGGTTTACAAGTGTTGTGGCGGCTATGCCGCTGTAGGTTTGTCGCTATCCTGATCTGATCTTGATTTGCTGTTTCCGGACCTCTGTGATATATAGAGAGGAAAAAAGGCAGGCCTTTTCAAATCCAGACATTATATATATATATACATGGAATATTATAGAGGTAACACTCTTTCTGGAGCATCGTGACTATAAGATGTTCTGGAGGATACATGTCTATAGGCGACTTGGATATGTGTAACAGATATGTATATTGCGTTCACATTTTTGGATTCCTGTCACACATATGTCAAAAGAAACGCCGCCATGGCGTCTTCTGCTACAGAGGGAAAAGGAAACGAATCAGAAGGCCTCTAGACTGATTCTGTTGTTTCTTTCGTAAGAAGCAGAAGTTCAGAAGTCATATTTGAAGTAATCTTGTTGACACTGACACAGAAACCCTGAAGGAACGGTTGCTGAGAAACTATGAGAAGCACTTGCTGGAAGGCACCTCGGCTTCTTCGGTGGCCGCATCGTCTTCGTCAACGCTGCCACCTTCGTCCACGTCAGCGCAGCATGGAGACCCGCCCTCTGAGCCGTCTTCTGGTTCAGCAGCCTCTGGTGGTCCCAGTGTTTCATGGCCATGGGGACAACGAATGTTGTCGCAGGAATCCCTTGCGTGCAGTCCGGCTATAATGTCTATGTGCAGGCCACCTCTGTGCAAGACGCGAACACAGCATGTCGCCAAGGTGCCTACCATGTCCCTTCTCAAGCTGCTCAGGGAGGAAATGTCTATGGAACAGAAGCCGTGCCTGTCACTAATGATATGGCTGGAACCACCGGTGGTTCTTCCATGGCTCCGGCGGCCGTCTTGGGGAAAGACCTTTTGCAAGACCGCGCACGAAACTTGCGTGCGGTGCCAAAGTCCCAGGGTTCTAAGAGCAAGCGGCAACAATTTCTGGAGACACACGGTTACAAGAGACCTCGTGGCGGACAGTGCAGGGAATACTTTGGACAAGTATATCACAGAGACCCTTAGATGCTGGAGCGGTTAAAAATGGGACATATATGCCGCTGTAGAGACAGAACGAACATAGCTGCTGCTGAATGGCGGTCTATCCGCTGTAGGTCCATAAGGCGGCCATGTCGCTGTAGGCACGGAGATATATGAGTAGGGTTCTGATGTTTTCATACACCGTGGCGGTTCGACCGCTGTAGGATTTTTCAGTGCTGTATAGGAATGAACAGGTTCATGATCAATGTGCTTGCAATAGAAATATTTAGTAGGTCAATCTATGTGGATATTATCTAGTTTGCCTTGCCACTGCGTGTTTCTTCTATTCTTGCAAAGCCAGATTCTTTCTTCTATACTTCGCTTTCAGGCTGCGCACAAGGACTGCTTGCGATTTGTTCTTCCTGTGCCCAAGAGACATGGCCTCTAGTCGCGTCTCAAATGATGGTGTGCTGACAGCACATGAGCTTCGCTTTGCGTTCGAAAGGCTGCAAGAGCTGCAGCCGAATCTGACGGATGAGGTCGACTTTGCTTTGGAGAGCGTGAAAGAAGTTCTCCTTTTTCTTCAAGTTCTCTGGCAGCATGGGAAGAAAGAGTCCCACGGCATTGCTTTGGCTATCACAGCCATTGTTTGTTTTCGCTGCTATTGCGGCGGCGCAGACTTCCAAGATGTTCGCTATACCGATAACCTGGTCTTTGACAAGAATGGTGGACCATGTCCGATGCTTCAGAGGATTCATCAGCAAGGATTTCCCAAGTCCATGATTGCCAGAAAGGTGGAGGAGAGCAAGGCAGCATTGAATTACATGGAAAGCATCGTGAGTCGCTGGGATGACAACAATCGGATCGCATGCTCCTTCAGTGCAGCCTACCAGGTAATTGCCGACAGTCTGAACCATTTGACTTGCTACTTGTCTGCGAAGGACATGGGAGATGGGAAGCTGAGAGTTTGAATGGTCTATATAGAGATGAATGTAAATATATACCAACGCTTTTGTCGCTACAGACGAGCGAGGAGGAAATAAATGGCTGGGAGCGTCGCAGCTGCAATGACCAAATATTTATTTTCATCTTCTCTTGCTGTCCTTCTGATCTCGTCCTGACCTCGCTTTGATCTCGTTCTGATCTCGTCCTGACCTCGCTTTGATCTCGTTCTGATTGCGTCCTGACCTCGCATGTAGTCGGAGTGTAGTCGGTCTGACCTCGCATGTAGTCAGAGTGTAGTCGCTGACCTCGTGTGTAGTCAACATGTAGTCGGATACATATCTGATTGAGATTTGCACAGATTTTGTTCTGACCTCGTGTGTAGTCGGAGTGTAGTCGCTGACCTCGTATGTAGTCAGTGTGAAGTCGGGATGTGACTTCCTTGTGACCTCGTGTGTTGTCAGAGTGTAGTCGGAGTGTAGTCGCGATGTAGTCGGAGTGTAGTCGGTCTGTAGTCGGTCTGCAGTCGGTCTTGAGGATTGGCGGTATGTTTCGCTGTAGGTGTGATGAGCGGGCTTGCCGCTGTAGCTATGGGTTGGCCCAGTCACCTCTGTATACACTGCTGTCACTTTCTGCTTTGGTTTTTGTGCAAGCGGTTTGACCGCTGTAGGATAATCTTTATTCTCCAAGAGTCTAATACGTTAATTTACTATATAGCATTCTGGCCTGTGAGGGTCGTACACCCTATTGCTCCGGCTTCCATCTTCGATGGCTTCCTCAGTTTCTACGGAGAACCCTCCTCAAGAGACACAGCTTGCTTCTCATGATGACGAGGTTCAGGCCCAGATGGAAGACATGGACACCCAGCTGGACGCTTTGCAAAGTAAGGATCAGTGCGGCTGGTTCCTCTTGTACAAAGAGTCTTGACATGAAGGTGCACGGCAAAAAACGCTCCTGCAGAGCGTGTGCTTCGGTGCAGCAGATGTTGTGGCGCCGCCTTGGTTCCTCTGAGGAAGCCTTGGCAAACTTCACCAAGTCTGAACAAGTCGACTTTTTCCAAGAAGCGGCTCAGACGGTGGACATGGCTGGTGGAAACTCTTGAAAACTGTCTTGGTCGAGAAGAAGAGCAAGATTGTGGAGCGGACGCAGTCAGTCGCCGTGGGAAGTGACTACGTGCCAATGTCCGTTTGGGAAGCAAGAGGATGGAAGAAAGAGGATGTGTTGTCCTTCAATGACTGGGAAGAATTGGCAAATGGAACGCTGGTGTACCGGTGCCACATCAAGAGCAAAACCGATGCAGAGAACAAACGCACCGTAGGCCTTGCTGGAGCGAGAGCGCGCAGTGAAGAAGCGCCGCGTGCCAAAGGGCAAAGGGAAAGGAAAGATGCAAGGGAAGCAAGACACGGACCAGGACAAGCTGGAGTCCGATTGCTGGCTGGTGGAGACGGACAGCGAGACGGAGATGCCGAAAAGGACAGCATTGATTCCGTCTGAGAGAGAGAGAGATAGATAGATATATATATATATGTGTGTGTGTGTATGTATACGCGTGTATATACACATTTAGATAGATATATATATATGTATATATATATATATAGAATAGAAGTGTGATGTCTAAATTCATTTGATGTAACTGCAACCTTTTTTTGCATGTGCAGGAGTGCGCAATCGAGCGGCGCCCGACCGCTGACAGAGAAGCAGCTGGCGAAAAAGGCGGAGAGAGAGCAGAAGAAGGCTGAGACCTTGCACCTGAAGGAAGTCACTTCCTGTACCAATTTGTGTGCCAAAGCAATGCCGGTTCTCACCGCGCAGGTGAACTCAATCGCATTGGCGCTGAAGCAGATTGACAAAGAAGGTGTGGCCGAATTTGGAGGTGAGTTGGAAGCAGCCTTGAAGGAAGCCAAAGGTCAGTTCCAAGAGTGGAAGGTCCAAGCCACGGATTTTCTGCATGCCGCTGAAAGCAACAAGGCCAAGGCCGATCCAAGCAAGGTGCACTTTTCCAAGGAGGTGCTCGAAGGTGCTGTCAAAGCCGCTGGGGCCTCCATGCTGGTGTATAAGGAGAAGATGCGAAATATCCGTGAGAAGAAGGCTACTGCCAAGGCAGCCGCGCCGCCAAAGGCGACTCGTGCCAAGGCCAGAGCAAAGCAGTAGAGATACTCGGCAGTGAGTGCTGTATCTATAGAGGATATTGTCAATATATTCTCGCTTTTTGGCATACCATGGGCTGGTTTCTGGGATTATTTGCAGGGAAGATCTGCAGACTTCAACGTGGGGAAATCTTGGAAGACAAAAAGAGAAGTGAATGTGAGCGCAGTTGCCGCAAGCTGTAGTGGCGGTGAAACCGCTGTAGGCTTTTTGTTTTGGCGTTGCTGCCGCATTTTTTTTCTTTATTGGCGGTGTCACCGCTGTAGGATCTTCTGTTGGCGGTAAATGACCGCTGTAGGATGTCTTCTGTAGTCGGGTGATACCTTGTTTTTTTTTGGGGGGGTCTTTTGTCTGTAGTAGACATATGACTTGAGCCACTATCAACACATATAACGTTTGTTGGCATGTGTGAGGTTCAAATGCATGCGAGCTGCAAAACGTCCGCGGAAACTGAAGGATGAAACGCAAGAAAGGTTAAAAGCTTGTATCGGCACCTCTTCGGCCTCAGACTGAGCAGTGCATTTCATTTGGAACAAAGCTGTCCAGGGTGCTGATCAGGTGACGTCGGCAACCTTCAAACGCTATGTGAGCGAAACTTTGCAGCCGGCGCTGGATTGCTTTGATCGCTTTGAAGTGCAAGGTCTCGAGGATGAGACTAGTGAAATCTACATTGCAAATATGGAAAAGTTGGTTCTCTTTATTGGGAAAGAGATGCCAAGCCTGGCTGACTTGTTAGCACTTCCGTTGCAGGAAGGTCTTTGTTTGCATCCGAATATATTTACCATGACGAAGCAATCGCTTCGAACCCTTTGTCGAGTGAAAAGATGATGAAGAGCATGTTGGTATACTTGAGTTGGAAAGAATTGAAGCGATCCCTGTTTCTAGAAGATGTTTGGCTTCCAGTATGCTGTATTCAACACATGGATTTGGATCGGTTGGCCAGTGGATTCAATGGCGTTATGTCACTATTAGTGGAGCATCTTCTGTCTCCTCGCTGGCTAGAAGGTTTTGCCGCCGATTTGACCCTTGGTTTTAGCTGAAACATATGAGTACTTTCTTCTGAATCAACTGGTAAATATATGTGAAACGATAGTTTAAACGATTCATATCTGAGATATTGGAAAATAATACCCCATATGCTCATCTATCTATATTTATATTTGTATATAATATAAAAGATAATGTTGTATATTTATATAGCAGCATACAAGCACACGAGGAATGGGCGTGCCATATGGTTTCGACAGGACAGCACTGCAATTTTGATAGCTGACTTGGATGGTTTGCGTTCGAGCCTATGTCTGAAAGGCAGTGCTGGCATGAAGCCATGTTTGAGGTGTTTGAATTGCGTGAAAAAGGACAGCGGATTGGATCCCATGCAGTATCCAGATATATCCAATCCTGCTTTTGCGCACTTTCGACAGATCAGAGACCAAGATATCTGGGATCTTGCTGATGCTTTGCAAAAAATGGTGGACGATGGTGAGTCGAAAGCCAAGATTCAAAAATTTGAGAAGGCAGCCGGATTAGTTTTTTTTGGTGATGGATTGTTCTATCAACCCAGACTTCGGGATCGAATGCCTCCCACGCAGGTTTGCGTGGATGGCATGCATTGTTACTATTCCAACGGTGTCGCGTCATGGGAAATTGCCCTGTGTTTAGACGCTGTGACAACGGCGTCGCATTGGACACTTCGTTTTCTTCGAGATGCAGTGTTGCAAAGTGCATGGACGGGACCCAAAGGAAGTAAGCATATCTATGCTTCATATCTGAAAAGTTTGTTTTCAGAGAAAAATGTCACTGAAGTCGTTTACAAGGGACAAGCGTCGCAATGCGAATCACTAGTGCCGCTGTTGAGATACTACTTTGCTGAAGGCAATCTGAAAGAGGAACATTTGCAACCTCATCTGAAAAGCTTTGAACACTTGGCTGTGTGTTGCGCGCAATTGCGCGCTTTGAGGTACCAGTGGTCTGAAATTTCCCCTCGAGATGTTGATGCCTTGCTGGCTGTGCAAGAACGTCATCAAAAGAGCTTCCTCGAGTGCTACTCCACGGAATACATCAAACCCAAACATCATCAGCGTTTCCATTTGGGACAAAGCTTCTTGCAAATGAATGTGGCGCTGAGATGTGAGCAACATGAAAGTAAACATCGTTGCTATAAGCACGGTTTGGCGGAGAGATTGAAATCCACAGTGCGGGTTGGTTTCCAAAGAAGCCTTTTGCCGCGCTTGCTGTCTGGTCAGGCTGCTCGAGTGCGTGAACTTGGCGTTCAACCCTTCCGTCTCTTCGGGCCGTTCAAGGCTGCTTCTCCGTCTCTCTGCAATTTGTTGGGGGATGCAGCCATGAAGGTGGCAAAGTCTTTGCGATTTTACCATTCCTCTGTCGAAGAGCGACATTGTATACTTTGCAGATGGATCAGCAGCAGTGGTAGAAAATATTGTGAGCAACGATGTTGAACATTTCTTCGTCTTGCACCAACTTCACCGAGTACGTTCCTGCGCCTGGGGAACAGTATGGCAAGCTACGGAGAAGCAAGTTGTTGCTTCGATCTTCTCGCAGGCTTGGTCTCTGCCGCCTTGGTGGCATTGGCAAGACGACGTGGTCACGTGTCTCCTGTGAAAAAAGGTTGAGTGTGTGCGTCCGTAGTGGTGGCGGGTTGTGACCGCTGTAGGTGTTGTTTGGCGGCTACTGCCGCTGTAGGAGTGTAATCTGAATAAACCTAACTTCTGTTCCAGTCATAAAAAAGAATATAAATGAGAATGTGTGGCGGTGTCACCGCTGTAGGGTCGTATGTTTGTGGCGGTTTGTCCGCTGTAGGTATGGCATTTTCTTTGACACTTCAAAAATGTTGTGAAAACCTTTAAAAAAAATAAGGAAAAAAACCTTGAAAAAAAGGTTTTGATAAAACGCAAAAAAGTTTTGAAAAGACAACTTTCGCAAACGCGCGCGTCATACATACGATACATATATGTAGACATATAAGTTCCACTCTGTGCGTCAACATAAGTACAACATAAGTAGGTTATATGTAAGTTATATGTAATTGATCTATGGCTAAGTCAAAACGGACCTTGTGGTAGCAATGTCAAACATGGATAGTTTTTTGCTGCAAGAATCATTCCATTAAAAATCCAAAGCTGCGGCCAACGACGAATGATCAATGTGTATATTATTGTCTTTGATTTTGACATGTATTGTCCAATGTTTTTCCTGGTATTTTCACGAGTTTTTTTGAACGCATTGGATTTGGGCGTTTTTTTTTGCAATAGTTACGAAGTCTTCAGAACCAAAGACACACTTGAAGTTTCTCCAGCAGTAAAGTAATGCACAAATCAGGTAAAATATGGTAAAACAAGGTTCTTACAAAACCCTTCGCAACTATAAAGTCTAATTCTGTTGGGAAAGACCTGGGTCTATAGAAAATGGAAGGTGGATGCCTTTGAATTCCCTTCATTTCATGTCGCACATTGTTGCACCTCACCTGCAAAACTTCTTCACTGTGTGCTATCTTTGGGCCGCTTGAGGAAACTGTGCTTTTTCATCTTGACAGGCCCAGAGATTTCATCCTGTGTGTGTTGTAGCTACCTGAGCTTCAACTTCAATGTGTTGTATACTGATGGCAGTATCAGAACCTTCAATGTACAAAACTTGCATCATAGCGTTGATGAGCCCTCTGGCCGGTGTTTTTCTGCTGTCTAAGTTGAACATATTTCAACAGGTTTTTGGCCGGCGTCCAGAATCCAAACTCAAATTTAAGCCACTGTGAGATGCGCGCGTGCAAGCATGGGGAAGAAACAGGGCAAGAACTTCAATGAAAATGCTCAGAATTGTCGCGTACGGTTTCGTATCGCTTTTTTTCACCACTTTCTCGCTTTTTTTCGCCACTTTCTCACTTTCGTACGGTGGCGTACGGTGTCGTTTTTTTTACTGGCATGTTCATTTTTTGATCTTTTCGGGTCCGGGCAGGCATCAGTGACAAGAAAAATGCGAGCAATCCCCTTCTACCCCTCATGGGTCTGGACAAAGGACGCCTCTAAATATCCCCCGTGACATGTGCTGGCTTAGCGCTACTTAGTTCATGTGCACTTGCTCATGGCACTCAGAAGCCCATAGCACGCAGAGAGTTGCTGTCGTTGTGACACTGGCTATGCTTGATGCGGGGGGCATTATGTTATGGTCGTTTTCTGCTTCAATTTTCCCTGTACTATTCTGACTTTCTTTGGCTCTATTGCAGGACACGCCTTTTCTCTGCAATAAATTCAATAAATGCCCTTTCTACTACGCATATCAATGTCCTTTCGACTCTTCTACCTGGGAAGAACGCTTTGTCTACGCTTTACCTATCTTGATCTATCGCTGTGCATCTATAGCTCCAACCAACACTATTCTCCACTGCCAGCGGTCAAAGGGAAGACATGTTAAAATGCCAAGCAATTATACACTGAAAGCAAGAAAAACCTTATGTTGCACTATAAATTCAATGTTGCTGAACGTCAGAGTTGCACAGAAGGGAAGGAGTTTCCGGGCAAGGCAGAGAGCTCTCAATCACGCAACAATAAGATCAGACTTCGGCGCATAGGCTTTTAAGCAAACATCGACATTTAAAGAACCCACTTGCTGAACTTGCACGTATCTCCAGAACAAACCTGGAAATAGGATAGCTTCAAGATGTTTAAGACACACACACAACCTAACTGACTCAGCGCAAAAGGCACTGGAAGACTTAACGTTGCAATAATCTGCGTTTTTCCATGAAGGTTGCCTATTTTCGGAGAAGTTGCAAAAATTACTGCCACTTTGGGAAAGTTGCCTAAATTTTGAAAATTGCCTGAAAAAAAACAGCAACTTTGGTTCTCCAGGTTGTTGTTTTTCGGATACCATAATACTGAGCCTTTGTTTGTGCACTTTTGCAATTTTTAAGCATTTCCTTTGCAACTACGTTTGCGCACCTTTGTTTGCAACTGAGGTCATCCACGGCATCATGGTACCGAGCTTATTTGGTATGTCAAACTCAGGAGTCGTTTTTTCAGTTTCGAACTGAAAGAGCAGATGCTTCGCACTGGATTGTGCGTTACATTCCTTGGCTCAGATGTGAACGAATGGACAAGATGCGTTTCGCTCAAGAGATGTGACGTTTGTAGGTGAAGCTGTAGTGGAAATGTCGAAACCTGACGCTTTCAAGTAATACTTCTGTAGTCTGTACTCACATCATGTCGGGCCTGGCAGCCGATTGCTTTGCAGCTGCGGGGAGATTGCAGTATACTTCGTTTCAAACAAATTCAGTTGATTTGAACGATGCGCTGTTGGCATCTATTCATGACTGGAAGGACGCCGGTTCGAGAGAATTGTACATCTACGATCAAGTGCGCATGAACGGCCCTCCGGAAATGGGCCGCCATTTCTGGGGCCATTTGCCACTAGCTTGGATGCATGAGCTCATGCTCGATTTCACATTGTATTACATTCTGTTTTCAAATGAAGAAGCAAGAGATGATGCCAACCGATTATGGGTCTTGGTGTTGAAAGATACTCGGCGGCAGCGCCCACATCGTTGGACATGACGGCAGTTAACAACAAACAAAGTTTTAGTGCACAAACATGTCGCATAAAGTATTTGGGGATTTAAGTGTGTTCTGCCATGGCAACGAATGTCTTTGATGACCAAATTCTACGACACATTCTTTCATTTGTGCCTGGGAGCTCTGAATTGGCTCCAAAATATTCTGTGCAACCAGAAACCGGACACTATCTGGTAAAAGCTGGTTGGCCGGTTGTTTTGAAGAAAATGTGTCATTGGAAGGAGGCAGACACCACCATCTGTATTTGCTGTGGTGCCAACCAAGAACCCGGCGATCCAAACGAGTCAGACGATAGCTGGACATCTCAGCAAGTCTCTGCTGGCTGGGCAAAGGTCATGACCGTGACAATACCACACTTTCGTCATCATCATATGAAATATATCAAAAAAACAGTCAGAAGCATAGAATATGTTTGGAGGACAATGGCAGCCGAGAGATGTTACATCTGCGGGCACTGCAACGACTGCGTTGTGAATCTCGAGTATGAGCATCCTGCTGACTGGCTGGAAGATCTTTCTGTGTTCACAGAGATGCTGGAACTTAGGTCGTGTCCGTGGAGGTGCCCAGATAAAGATCGACCGCAGTAGCCGGACTGCTGCAGTAGTAAAAGCGGCAAACATGCCACATCTGCAGCATCATGGTACCGACCTTTGCTTGGAAGCAGCTTGTGGGAGCTGGAAGGCTTGCGTACCGAGTGGCACATGGAACTGAGTGCAACTGGCGCAAATTAATTTGTAGCAGTGTTTGTCTGGAGAGACTGTTCGTGACGAACATGCAAAACCAGTAGCCAACTGTTGTTTGTCTATAAAGATTTTTTTTCCATCCTGTAGGGACATCGGAGAAATGCAGTGAAACAGGTGTCATCCTTGCCATCATGATATCGAACTTGCTATTGTGGAATCATTCGCAGCATTCTTGCACGGACTTCTAGATTCTCTTGGATGCCATGGTACGGAGCCTTTGTTTGCCCACCTGTGTTTGCAACTGAGGTCATCCACGGCATCATGGTGCCGAGCTTATTTTGTATCTCAAAGAGCGGATGCCTTGCATTGGATTGTGCGTTGATCATGGTGCTGAGCCTGGTCTTGTGCACTTTTGCGATTTTTTAGCATTTCCATTGCAACTATGTTTGCGCACCTTTGTTTGCAACTGAGGTCACCCAGTGGTGCCGCGCTTTGTGAGCGTCTGTGTGTAAAAGTCTGTGTGGAAAAGCGTCTGTGTGTAAAAGTGTCTGAGTGTAAAAGCGTCTGTGTGTAAAAGCGCCTGTATGTAAAAGTGTTTGCGTGTAAAAGCGTCCGTGTGTAAAAGCGTATGTGTGTAAAGTGTTTGTGTGTAAAAGCGTCTGTGTGTAAAAGGGTCTGTGTGGAAAAGCGTCTGTGTCTGTGTGCAAAAGCGTCTGTGTGTAAAAGCGTTTGTGTGTGAAAGTGTGTGTGCGTCTGTAAAAAGGCATCTGCATGTAAAAGTGTATGTGTGTAAAAGAGTCTGTGTATAAAAGCGTCTGTGTGTTAAAGTGTTTTCGTGTAAAAGTCTCTGTGCGGAAATGCGTCTGTGTGTGTGCATGAAAAACGTCTCTGTGTGAAAGCGTCTGTGTGTAAAAGTGTTTATGTGTAAAAGATTCTGTGTGTAAAAGCGTCTCTGTATAAAAGCGTCGCGTTTCTTCGCGTTCACGGAATGATGGTGCCGCGCCTTTTTCCGCAATGTGTGTGGGAATTACCATAATAAAATGAGATAGCACATGTCATTCGCAGACTCATGGCACTGAGCCTCCTGTGCACTTTTGTTGCTCACATTACATTTCTTCATGTTTTCTTTCTACCCCCCCCTTTCATTCTCTCTCTCTCTCTCTCTTGCTTTCTCTTTCTCTCTCTCTCTCTCTT